GCATAAGATCCGAACCATTATGACATTAAGATACGACTTAATGTTATTGTCACATTCATAAGTATTATGAATCTGTTATCTGAGGCTAATCGTCATTTTTTTTAAACTAGTTAGTCCATCCATTCACAAAATAATAAATATATGTTCTAATTTATTCATTCATTATTTTCTTCTTTGGAAGTTGAGACATAATTTATAATGCAAATCGTTCGCAGTGAACTAGTTCTATGAAAATTAATGAACTAGTTCAATTAGTTCAGTTGAAAGAATCGTTCATTAGAACTATTTCGATGGTGAACTACACATCCCTACAGGTCAACATCCATGGGATTCTTTTTTACCAGACGAGAAGGCGATATACCCTTCTAGATAACGGCATTTTATATATAATAACGGGGATTTTTAATGAGGAGAGCGGTCAAAAGAAGATATCGCGATCGGGTATTTTAAATGTAACGCTCGCATATATAAATTATTGTAAGATAAATTATTATAAATAAAATTTAAATAAATTAAATTCGTAAATGTTATAAATATTGAACCTTTAGTAAATTAAAATAAGAACAATAAATTAGAATTAATAAAGACTTTACAATAAGTTAGCGTAAATGCGAGTTATTGCCACAAAACTGTATTTAAGAGACTAATTACTTGATGTATGCCGCTGCGCCAGTGTACAAAAAAAATTAAAATACCCCTCTAATCCTCGCATCTGGGTATTATAAATACCCTTTAGCCAGAAAAATGAAAACTAAATGTTAAACATTTTTTTAATAGGTACGTCAAGGTCGAGAAAGAAAGTGCGTCGGTGTTTACAATACAAACTTAGTTATACTGCAGGTACTTTTTAACTAGACTAAACAGACGAAATTAGTTAGAGACGAGAACTGAAAATACGGCATAGTTAGACAAAAAAAAAACAGTTTACGAAATAGTATATAAAGGTACATCACAATAAAAATTAAGGGCGTTTACTACTAAAAAATTTTTTTTTAATTTTTATGATTTAAGTGATTTTTGTGAAAGGGGCGGTTTTGGAGAGTGATTTTTGTGAAAGGATTAGTTATGGATATACCAGAGGAAGCTAAATCCTTTTTTAAACCATTAAACCATTTTTAAAAACCTTACCCTTTTAGAACATCAAAGTAAATCCAATTTTTTGTAGAATTTTCAATATAAACAAATGATTTTAGTTATCCTCTACCCATCGATACGGTTATTTTGTAATGAAGATTAGAGTATTTACTTTCATAAACAGTTTTCACAAAATAAAATAAAAACGAAAATACTGTGAGTAGTACAAGCTGATTTATAAATTTGTTACATACTTAATGTTAAATTTTAAATTTAAAAAAAATGGTTCAATATTGAGTACTTACCGCCAACTATTGAGTACTTACTAGTTCCAACTGTCCCTTTCACAAAAATCAGTTGAAATATAAAAATAAAAAAATGCAAATATGTAGTTCAAAAAGTGTATAATAGTAAAATATAACTATATATTTAATTTAATAGTAACTATAATAGTAAAATCTCACAATACAAGTAAACACGCAGCCAAAATGTTTTAACGAGTGGTGCTGTAAAATTTGTAATCTAAAGGTCGATTCAGACACATCAGTCACGTTTCGTCACAGTTCTGGCGCCGAACCGAACAATCTGTCATACAAAATATTCTTTAATAGAAATATGGCGCCGGCATTCACATTTATCAGTTGACGAACAGTTTCTCATCTGTCAGATAATTAATAGTTCTGTGACCAAACAGGACCGGTTCGGCGCCGAGACTGTGACGGGACTGATGTGTCTGAATCGACCTTTAGTCTATTCTCGGTGGGAGTAGTTCCAAATAACGATAACGTCACATATAAAGATAAGCTAGCTTAGCTACCTTTTACCTTTAGAGTCGGCCTTCCAGAAGAATAGGCTGAAAATGCTAAGTTAAAATTTCCATTTTTTGACCAGCTTTTATGGAAAATTCCACTCTGTGCGTCGTTGACAGCACCTATCATGGAGAATGATGCAGTTTAAAATTCATGTCAAAATATCAGTGTTTTCAATAAGAAATAAGTATATAAAAACTATAATTTTCTGTGGAAGAATATTAAGTAAACCACAATCCACTGTTCAATTCCAGATTAATTCGAAGATCCTTACTATAAGTAATAATAAATACTTCGGATAATAGCGGTGGCTTTTAAAAATAATACATATTTTAAATGGAAATTACATAAAAAAGAACGTTTTCCATAGAATAAAAATCATTGTACAATCATCACCAAGTGAAGCAGAATTCATTGATATAAATTTCATCTCCGTACCTAGACATCGTTCCATCTTACTACACTAGTACCAAATACTTTTACCAAAAAATATTGCTAGAAATCGCTATGAGAATTAATTGTTTCAAAATGGAAAAATTTTAGCCGCTAAATAAGCATTCTACTGTATAACTAAATCAGAATTCGTTGATACAGGCTATACAATACAGCTTGCATACCTATGCGAAGTATAACCAAAACTAATATTACTAAGTACTAATATTAATATAATAATGCCATCAATTCTTATTAGAAATAAACTGTATTATAATTCAGTCAAATGCGTTTCTAATTTACCACTCAAAACTTCAACTAAAATTTAACAAAAGATAAAAACATGTTGTGAGAATACAACTAAAAACTACTAAGTACCTAATGACTATTAGCAAATTAAATGATTACATAAAAAAAGAACCTGATGAAATTTTTACTAACTTTTTGAATGTAGATAGACCAAGTTTTTAAACGTTTTTTTACAATTTTTAAACTATACAATCAAATTATCCAAAATCTACCTGCTCACATAAAGCAAAATAACTAAACAATGAAGATTCTCCTTTTACTTCTCGTTGTCATAGGGCCTTGGCCTTATTCATTCCATTTGCGGTGTAAGTCATAAACAGTAGTTTTGAGTGTTTATAAATGAAATTTTTCACATACTAGTATTATCAATATTATAGTCCAACTAAACTGAGTGAAAAACTCCGATTGTTTTTAAGTTCCAATAACTAAAGAAAGATCTTTCATTAAAATTAGTAACAATAATTATAAACCTTAAATAAATCTCTATACATAATAAAAATTAAAAGCAAAACCACTAAAAACGATAATAGACTAAAAAACTGACCACATTGACAAGTTCGTTAAGATAATATTTTATTCATTTACAAAATTTGAATTGTTTGTAACAGTTTCATACGGATTTTTAAATAATAGGCGAATATAATATGCCATTCTCCAATCTATTATTTGATAAATACGTCATTTTAATAAGTCTCAATGTTTCTTTGACTTTTGACATAACCTTAGAAATAAAACATTCTTACCTCTACACCAACAGTTTTAAGAATTAACTTCTTCACATATTTAGTGCATTCCAACCTATCGTCAAACACCCACATTAATTGTTTGTCCCGAGATAAACACAATCTGCACAAATCTTTTAAGTCCATTTTAACTAAATTTAATATCGCGCCAAAACTAACTTTTTTATTGCACAAACTTCCGACCTCGCTGTTTTGTTTACATTCCGTTGCTAGTGAAACTTTGTTTTTCTGGTTTCCTCGTACTCGTCTGTGGCTAACAACCGACAATCCGACAAATGCCGAAGCGATAAGTCTCGGTGGTGGTTGAAGGTGAAGATGGATGATTATGCATGCGCACTACCAATTGAATTATTATTTGTTTTATTTATTTTTGTTTTGATTGGCTTATGGTGTTGTGTGTGTATACGAGTATAAATTCGGTTTTATTTTCGGTTTTATGTCACATATTACTTTTGTTTAGTCCATTACAGTCATGGTCTTAAAGTGCGTTTCGCTATAAAAAAAAGTAGAATAAAAAAGAGTGCACTATTTTAAATATTGTGTAATTTATATAATGTTAAAGAAATAGTCAGCATTATAAATAATAATAAGTATTGTTTAATGCTGACAATTTCCTTTGATACATTTTATGTGTTTATAAATCTACCAAGGTTAATGTCCGAGTTGCTGGAAGAAAATGAAACGTGATCAAGCTTTCAGACATAATATACTTTTGTGTAATTATATTTAATAATTTTGATATTTTCTAGTTGCTCAAGGGTTTTTAATAACATTTGCGAGCATTTTGAATATTTAAAGTAATTTTTAAAAATTATAATTCTCATTGGTCTTAGTAAATAAACTTACCTATTGTTTAACTGTAAAGTAACTTATTTATCGTGTTAACAAAATTTTTCTACCAAACTTGGTATGCATGCATTAGGAATAAAAAAATATGGTACAGAAAAATCTCGCGAAAACTAGATTTTCTGTATTTTTAAAATTTAAATAATGGGGATTATGAATAAAAATGAGAATTTAGTTGATACTCCAGGGGCGTGCGGTGAAATTTAAAACAAGGGAAGCAATTTATTTTAAAAAATGTAAAAACTCACCTATTTATAATGTAGTTCAATTCTTCTACCATTTTTCGCAAACTCGTCTATAACTTCATTGTAAAAATTTGGATATTGTGACATTTCTTTAACCAGATTATTTTCAATTGCCAACAGGGAAACATTAGAGAGTCGACCTTGTCCTGTCGAGTTTCTTAAGTAAGTCTTTATTCATTTTAGTGTTGAAAAACTACGTTCTACAAAGACACTAGTAGCTGGAATGGTCAATACTAACTTACATAACTTCCTTGCTTCCGAATACGCTTTGTCCAAAGAAGTTTTTTTTAAAAACGTCAGTAGGTAACTCACTGGCATTATTTTTTGTGCCAATATCCTCAGTTTCGTATAAAGCTGTTAGCTCAGAACGTAATGAAATCAAATCAAAATATTGTCCATAAAGACATATCAAAGATTTTATTTGTTTTTCAGAAAATGTGGTCAGTTTCGTATAAAGCTTTGCTCAACGTATGATCAAATCAAATATGCCCTAAACATATCAAGATTTTATTTTTTTCAGGAAAATGTGTCTTTTAAATGCATTAAATTGCACAGCATAGAAAGTCTGGGTCATCAAAATTCTTAAAGCTATTTTCCATTTGTTGGCATATTTGGTCTAAAATAAGATAATATAGTCGGCGGTAGCACGATTTAACATCTCCAACATTATCAGTGCGTATGCGTTTGCTTTTAGGCTTAAAACGGTTTTTCATCATATTATTCCAGCATTTTTCAAAGTAATCTCTCTTTTTGTTAATAACATCTTTAAATCCGTTAACTTTTTTATACAGAAGCCAATATTTTTTATCTTGCATTGTAGTACATTAAATAAATCATCTGAAAATGGAAGTATTTCAGAAAAAAACAAGATTAAAAAATTAAAATCATTTTTAAACTATCCATAAATCCTCTCGAGCTAGTTATGGTTTTTGTATCCCACTTTTCACCATTCTCCAAAACACTCTCAAATAATTCGAAACATCTCCGCTACGAGGTTGGCTATCATCATGGCAATTTTGACCCTGGAGGCTGCCGCTCGGAACAATTGTATGGAAGTGCAAGCAAACCACTCCCTGAGGTTTCTCAACCATGACATTCTTCTCCTACCTATGCGCCTACCTTCAATCTTTCCTTTCCTAATCCATCGCGTAATTCCATCGCGTCACTGCAACTTTTGATAGTCTTTGTTTTACAATTTTATCTAAAGCTGAGTTCATTTAGAGGATTTAGAAAAGAAAGCAGCCATTCCACTTAAAGTTGCAAAAAAAACTTTGCATTCTTTGATCTGCATGGCCGATTGGGATACAACTAAGTTTAGTTTGTGAGCAAAATAGTGTATAAATATCGCACTAGGACATGTTTCTCGCACTTGCAATTGTAGAACCTCCAAGTGTCCAGCTATAACCGCAGCGCCGCTACTACCACTATCATTCCAAACACCATTTTCATTCACAAAAAGCAAACAACACCAGCAAAAGAGTTTATTCCTAAATTCACAACCAGTTAGCCACACGTATTGTTCCTAAGGTTTTTCCGAATTAAAATCTCGGACGCAAGTTTTTATTTTGGTAATGAGATTTTTCATTTCAGGCTTCGACCTACCTTTAACTCAAAAAGCAGTAATACCTCAGCTTCTTTTATCAATTATTTTATTATTTTTATTAATAATAATAGTAATTGTTATTATTATTTTAGGTCGATTGTTTTAATATTAAAAATAACACAAAATAAAAAATAGAACAGTTGATTTAAAAATATTAAAACTATTGATCGAAGAAAGCTGTAATATTATCGTTTTCCCTATTCGTGCCATGTAAATATAATATAGGACCTTTATTAATTATGTTCCATTTTTCACCAAAATTCAACGGACTAAAGCGTTTCTCTAATAACAAACATACTACACACTTACAAACTACAGCTGATTCCACAAAATCAGTCGACGAAGACGCCATTGTCTGGGATGTTTTTACATAAGGCAGGAGAAGCAACTCTGAACGTGGATTATCCCGAAATAACTCTCCGGCTTCCAACGTAGAATTACTAACAGGAAAGCTAAAGATATGCGAAGGGTCGAAACGAGCTCGCTGCTCGTTCTACATAATTCTCGTATGCAGCTTAAAAGGCTGCTTATATGTATGTTGGTTTAAATTATTTTTTGTTAAATATTCTCAGTTACTCAGCTAGTACGCTATTACTACGAAAACCTAGGGAAGCAATGCTTCCCTTGCTTCCATACACCGCACGCCCCTGTTATACTCAAAATTTTGTAGTAAATACTCCGCGTGGTATGAATAAAAAACAGAAGTCGATACCCGGCTTGAGTATGTACTATTATGTACAGTTTGTTGTGAGCATGTTATCATTTTTGATATGAATAAAAATATCTTTATGCTCTTGAGGATGAGAATCTGCTCCATAAATTTTTAGTCTAACAGTTACCAGACTTCAGTTCCATCGTGGCTAAGCTATGGCTCAGTTAATGTTTAATTTTCGTTCAAAAAAATGTTATAAACCAAGAAGTATAGGCGATCATGAAGTATTATATCGATTTAATAAAGAAAATGTTAAGTGGATTAATGGAAAATGGAATATGTAACTTGGATAAAATGAAAATATTTTTAAGATTTGTAGGTGATTGTGGGTTTCAAAGAGGAGTGGGAGAAGATATTGGTATTCATCAAACTAGTATGTCTAAGGTTGTGGCGCAAGTTGCTGACCACATAATAGAAAAATGCACACGTTGGATAACATTTCCTCACGCTACGGCGGATATAATAGAAGCTAAACAAGATGGCAAACAAAGTACACTTTTCCGTGTGCCGTGGTTGTGATAGATTGCACCCACATAAAAATAAACAGACCACCTCTAATGGTGATGAATATATCAATCGCAAAAGATCTCACAGTATCAACGTTCAAGCCACTTACAATGCAGATGAGTGGTTTACAAGCGTAGACACAGCATGGCCAGAATATGTCCATGATTTACATTTATATGGAGCAACCCACAAATTTGTAACATTGCTAAAAATGAGTTTAGGAGGACAAATGCGATAATTTTATAATTTTAGAGAGATTAAGATGAAGATTATGGCGTAGCACCGCGCGCTTTAAAAATCCAAATACTCCTGCAGAACTTTATAATAAGTTATCTACAAAGAAGTATGTAATAATTGAAAGACGATTTTGATAACTACAACAACGATTTCCGATGCTTCAATATAAAGTTTGGGTGTCGATAGAAAATGTTCCAAAACTTGTTATATGTTGTTTTATGTTACACAATGTAAGTATATATTTAAATGATGAACTCGATCCAATGGAGCTCCCAATACAAGGTATTCCGGATCCGTGTCCAGTAGAAGATTAAAATGACATTAGACAAAGTGGGCAACGAAGGCGATCTGAATTAGCAGAATCCTTCTTGCTCAAACTTGAGGTAATTAAAAGTCGAAATACAAAACGAAACATTTATAATTTTTATCGTTAACATTTTTTCTTACAACTAACATGTTTTATTATGCAACTGTTAAAATAATATTTAAATATTACATATTGACGTAAGCTTTTCCGTTTTCACTGCCAACAATAATATTATTATTTGAAGTAGATTGTTCACTTAAATCAGGATTTAGCTCCCTCTTTAGAATTTCCTCCTTCATTTCAAAAACTCTCAGTTTTATTAGCAAAACTAGTCTTTGTATTTCGGTATTTGAAAGTGGCTTGGTATTGTTTCTCTCGTATTTTTCAAGAGGACGATTTTTAATAGGTTTCTTTTCTTAGATGGGTATACTTCAATAGTAGTATCATCATTTGTGGACCATGTTGCAGAAACAGAAGGTCTGCGGATTTTAGCTTCATGATTACTGTCTTGTCTTGGGTCTGTTTATTCTGTACCACGTGTACTTTATCTTCTGGTGTATTATCAGTTTTAGGTAAAACAACTTGAATAAGATTCATAACTTTCGATGAAAGTCGTTCCTCAAAATCTGTTATATTGTCTAAAAGGGGTAAATAAATAGATCTTCGGAAATATTCTTCGCAAGAGTTAGCAGGTTGGTTTTGACCACAGGTTTGACGAGAAACTATACGAGGCATCTTGAATTCAATGTTTAGTTGTTCAGCTATTTCCTTTACTTCATAGTAAAGTTTGCTAAAAACAGATTCAGCATTTGATCTTTAATTTTGAATAATGCATGGCCTCAGTAGCCTTCTTCAAAACTAATTATTTTGGTGACTGAAGAGGACGACTAAGTGATACAGTTGTACCTAAAACATCACTAAGACAAACTACTGAAATTCTGGGCTCCTAATAGTTTAAATCAATGAAAATGCATCAGCTGACATTTTGCTGCCCTTCCACGTAGAAATTGTTTGAAGAGCGTTGTATATTTTGATGATTGATTCGCCCTGGAACTGAAGATGACCTTCATGCCTTTCAACCCAACGATTTTCACACACACCTTACGACAGCAGCTCCCAATTTCTTTATTTGTATTCACTAACTTGTCAGACAGAGCTAATGCAAGAATATTCACTCTCATATTATTTATTCTTCTTCTTCTTTAAGTTCCATCTTCTATCGAAGGTTGGAAATCATCATGGCTATGCGGACTCTGTTGACTGCCGCTCTAAAAAGTTCTGCACTACTGCATTCAAACCATTCCCTTAAGTTCTTAAGCCAGGATATTCTTCGTCTTCCCACATTTCGCTTTCCTCGGATTTTGCCCTGCATAATAAGTTTTAATAATGCATATTTTTTGCCCTCTCATCACATGTCCCAAGTACTCAAGTTTTCGTCTTTTAATAGTTAATATTATTTCCGCCTCATTTCCTATCCTTCTAGTTACTTCCATGTTTGACATTCTTTGAATCCATGATATTCGTAGGATTCTTCTGTAACACCAAAATTCAAAGGCGGCCAGCTTATTCAGATGAACTTGTTTGAGTGTCCAAGCTTCCAGACTATAAAGAAGAGTAGAGAACACTTAACATCGAAGCATTCTCAGGCGTAGTTCTAACCTTATATCCCGACAACAAAAAAACTTTTTAAGTTTAATAAATGATGTACGTGCTATTTCAATACGTGTCTTAATTTCTTTGGTTTGGTCTACATCTGATGTTATCCATGTTCCTAAATATTTATAGTTATTAACCTTCTCAATTGCAGTATCTTCAATAGCCAATTGGATATTTGCATGTGCAGATTTAGTCATGATCATGCATTTAGTTTTCTTTAAATTTATCTTCAGTCCGTACTAATGACAGCGTCCATTAAGGCGTTGCATTAGGTTCTGTAAATCATTGTTGTTATCCGTAATTATTACTGTATCGTCTGCAAAACGTAAGTTATTCAAAACTTCTCCATTGATAGATATACCTTCTATTGAGTCTGAGAGCGCTTCTTGAAATACCGCTTCACTGTAGACATTGAAAAGTAGTGAGGACAGCACGCAACCCTGGCGGACTCCTCTCTGTATTTTGATATTTTCGGTGTACTGGCTGTCAACTCTTACCTTGGCAGTTTGATTCCAATATAAATTAGATATAATTTTCAGATCACGACTGTCAATATTTTTGCTTTTTAATATATCTACAAGCTTTTTATGTTGAACTTTATCAAATGCCTTTTCAAAGTCTACAAAACATAAGTACATATCCTGATTCATGTCCATGCATCTCTGAGCCAGCACATTCAAGCCGAACAAAGCATCTCTTGTACTCATACCATTTCTAAAGCCAAATTGTGTGTCACTAATCTCATATTCAAGAGTTTTAACAATTCTGCTGTGAATTATTTTCAAAAATGTTT